TCCGAACAATACTTCTTTTGTAAATAATCATTACACCTCTTGTATATAAATATCACAGTAATAGGAATATGTTTCATTAAAGTCTGTCTGATGAGTGCGTAAGCACGAAACTCGGAGTTACAGTGAACATGTCTCGTCTTTAATCCAATCTTTACTATATATGTATATATGTATGTATATGTTGAGGCTAATCCTCAACAAGGGTATTCCGGAGTTCCCGCGTTCCTATGTTTCTATTCTACGTTTTCTGCATAAATGTCAAGCAATCCTTTGCGCGGTATATGTTTTACATGTGCTTGAAGAAGTGTGCCGTACTTGTATACCGTGGTGTCAATTCGGTGAGTTTTTTGTACTGTTTTCCTTTTTTATTTCCCTTTATACATTGTATTTTTAGCTTTGGAATTTTAGGTTTCACCAGGCCTTTTCCCTAGCCTGTTTTTTCGTGGTATTGGACTGATTTGTGTGAATAAAGTTTTAGCCTTTAAACTATGCCCGTGTAGAGCCAAATCGACACATAATTCCTTCGAACCAAACACGCTACTTCAGTATATATATATGTATATATGTATGTATGTATATATGTATGTATGTATATATGTATACACCGGATCGCTAAAACTTTGACATTCATTGATATATATTTTTATATATATGTACCCTTTTTTCTATTGTATTTCCACAATTCTTTTGTACCGCTGGGAGGCCAGGAACACAAAGTACCATGAAATAGTCAGCAGCCTAATTGACCATATTATTTCCTTTTGTTTCTGTTTCAYGGGTAAAGTCCAATCACGTTAACCCCTATCAAGATGCGAGATTAAAGAACCCCAGTTTCTGAAATGACAAAGTCAGTAGCCTAATTGACCTTATTATTTCCTTTTGTTTCTTTTTCACGGGTAAACTCCAATCACGTTAACCCCTATCAAGATGCGAGATTAAAGAACCCGAGTTGCTGCRTGCATGATTTTTTTTGTTGCGTTAAATAGTTTTTTGGTTTTGATCTTTTATCGCATGTATTGAAATGACAAAGCTGTAAGGATTAAGAGTTAAGCTACCTTTTATTTGTTCTTCTTGAATCGTGTATTCCACTTGTACCGAGGATCGTTGAAGCTGAATGACTTATGTGCTTCTGCAGTTATGGTGCACAGTCAAGATCTTCGTTGGCGCATAATGTTTTTAAAGTATGGTCACAACAGATTCCCTCAGAATATAGCGCGATATCTAAATGTCTCTCTTTCAACCGTATTCAGAATTATTCGGCTATTCCGAAGAACGGGGGATGTTTTATCTCTAAGAAAAAATGGTAGGCCAGCTATATCAAGGTTATTGACAAGGGCACAAATGCTGATTCTGTGTGAGTTTGTCTTAAGAAACGGGGCTGCCTATTTCAGAGAGCTATCTGATCATCTTGAAGAAACAACAGGCTCTCGATATTCCGCTCAAAGTTTGTGTAGACTGCTAAAGCGATGTGGTTATTCACCCAAGAGGGTAAGTTTAGACGTGATATAACATAATTTCGTACATGTAACGAAGACTCCATTTTTGGTCAATGGTGATCGTCATTCGTTTTGTTGACTTTCAGCTACATTGAGAGATTTTTGTTACTCAAACGTTATGATCTTTTTTTTGGTGTGTATTAAAAGCAATCGGCTGTAAATGTCGMACTCCTAGTGGGTACACTCCTTGTACTTTGCGTGTACGAGATCTTTAAATTGTTGTTCACGTACTCAATTTTAGTTTAATCAGTCCGTGAAATTAACGGAATAACCCAAATYTCTCGAAAACCGAAATGACACCTATTAAAAATTATTCGTCCATTCATTAGTCTATTATCATCTTTAAATAACAATATATATAGAAAACAACTCTGACTTATACTGAATCATTATTTCTTAGATACACCGAGTGGCACTTCAAAAGAGAATCGAACTAACAGAGGAATATCGAAGGGATACGTCGGTATTCAGACCAGAAGAGCTGATTTTTGTTGACGAGAAGTTTTGTGTAAGTATAAACATTTTTGGCTAGTAGATCGATAATTATAGCTCACGTAAGTTTAGTTTAATTTATTACTAGTTTTTAGTTTATTATTATTTCGCGCTATTTTACATGTATAATTTTCAAAATAATTTATCTAAATAAATAAATGACAATAACATTACAAGAAGAAAAACGAGTTAAATGTAAAGAAAAGCATGTTTAGTGCTAGAAAGCTAGATTGACTTGATTGATTTTTTGCCTTAAAAAATGTTACTGCACATACAAGTAGAATCGTTCAAACGTTGCTTCTAAAACTGTAGCTGGGATTAAGTTGGCATTTGTATTTCTGTGCCATAATATGCAGTATAAAGTAACCATTATAAATTCAAATTTCGCATTCTGATCKGCCATTGCTGGGAGCACGCGCGTGCATTGTAAGAGCACACAACATGATCGCGCGCTTTCTATTTTGCCATTCGTGTCAAAAATAACGGTTACTCTGCTAAAACTTAAAATTTCTATCGGTTTCGCGTTAAATCTCTTGTGCTTTATAACGAAACAGCAGGCGCGCGCGTTTTCTATTTCTTCGATACTAGCACTCTTCAATATAAATTTCAACTTCAATTTAGTTTTTCCCGTGCTGTGATTGGTCGAGCGACCATTGATTATGAGACCATATTCATGACTTGAGTGGTGATTATAAGTTTGGCCAAAGTTTGCCAGTGCGAAAGTAATGCTGAAACACGTCTTTTACAATGCTATTCAAATCTAAAACTATTTGCATCGGGGTAAATATTCACTGCGCCTGAGGTGAATAATCGTTTCAACAATATGTACAAAAGGAAAGAAAAGTAAAACGATTTTAAAATATATCTTATATAATAAGCTTAAGAAACTTAAGAAACATAAGATTTAAAAACATACACTAAGCAATTGTAAAAAAAACATATCCCTTTCTGATCAACTTTAATGGTCTTCATATTGCTTGAAACAGGATAGACGAATATCTCGCAATTATGGATACAGCCCGGTTGGACAAAGAGCTACAGGAA